AAAAAAAACGTGTAAATTCTCCAGCCCACTCTAGTTACTTAAGTTTTAAGTTGAACTGCCCATCGCAGCCGTGTGTCTATAGAACGTTAAGGTCTTTTTTTTTCGAGCTCAGCGTGGAGTGTTTTGTTGAAATTTCCAAAACTATGCCGAGACAACTAGCTGTCAACCAAATTAAATGAAAGAAATCAAATTTTAACATTTGAATTCCCAAAAGTTGAAATTGCGTCTTCTTATTCGTCTATTTCGGCTTGTGTTTCGGTGAATGGTGTTTTTAAATGCGCACTTAAATGCTCCGAGGCAAATATTTATGTTATCCATTTTGAGAGATGCTTAAATTCTCGACGCCAGAACTCCTCAACTTTATTTACTCATGCAGTATCACGAACTCGGCTCACAAATCTTCAATTCTCTAAACTGCTTGCCCATGGAATTAAAAAATTATCGGTGCCAAACTCCACGTGACCGCATGTGCGATGTAGAGGTGTATGGGAGTTGATTTCACGTAGCCGTTTGCATGGTGGTGAACCAGGCTGGTCAGTGCCAGCTTGGTTGCGGAATTGCCGGTGCCAAATTCTCCATATCTGTAAATGAGATTTAAGGGCAAACATTACAGCTCCTTTAATGCAGTCGCATCCAATCATAAAGAAGAAATATCCTCGTAAAATTTCAACTTTCCAGCTTGTCTGCTTCCCGAGGGTGTCCCGCGCGTGAAACAAAAAGGACGTGAGCATTTGTTTTGCTTTGGGGGAATCAGCTGCCAAATTTCAGCCTCACGATTTTCGTTGATCTGGAAATCAAAATTGCTGGGAACACACAAATACACTTAGAGACATCAGACAAATCTCCTACAGTATGTACTGTGCTTTGCATAAGTGCAAAATAAGCGCATAAAACAAAAAATTGAGGCAAAAAGTCCAAAATTTGATAGGGGGATGCAAATTTAACTGAAGACGAATGGAAATCAGTGACTGGGTAAAGAAAAAAGCACTGCAGTCCAAAAACCTTAAAAGAGCCAAAAAATGCCAAATTTGAACAAAGTGTAGCATGATTATGTGTGTGCTGTTACATTGAGTAAAGTTCGGGTTTATTAGAACAACGAAATACAACCAAACGTTCACAATGGGTTAGGAGCTCCGTTGGTCTTGAGTTTTTTCGGTTGGTTTTGACCGAGGTCGCACGGTCAGCACGGTCCTGTCGCTTCCCTCATACTTCGGTCCCTTCGTCAAGGCTGATACCCGCAAATCCCAATCTATGCCGGCCTACACTACGTCAGCCACGCTACTTCAGCGATCCATGCACAGTGCCCTCAACTCACCTCATCGATCCATACTCCGGGTCACGGTTGTGCATGCTTGATTCACGAATCGTTCTCGAAGGGCGAAAAAGATTGTTACTTGCTCCCAACAGTGCCGTGCCATGGTAGAACTCTGGTATTTCTCATCCTCTGGGGATTGCTTTGTTCCTAACGTCTGAATTGCTGGTACCAATTTATTAGGTAGCAACAAACAAATCTTTAACTGACTTTCAAAGCACAGTTAAAATTATGCTAGCGGTATTCATCACAGCAGCTTGGGTTTTCGAAGAATATTTTTTTGCTGTATTTTCAGTTTCTGAGTGTTTTGAAAACGAGGCTCCGCGGAATGCCCGATACGGAGAAGTATCGAAATTTTATTGCTGGTTGTGGTGCTGGTATGGCCGAAACGCTGATACTGTATCCAAAAAGTAAAGTTATATTTCGTCAACAGATATATGGCACCACTACAAAGACAGTTTTAAAACAGGTAACTTCTGTTTGTGCTCCGTGTTTCGGAATTTGAAAAAAAGTGTTTTTTTTAACAGTCAGCTAGACTACAACGGGTTGTTTTCTAGATGCGGGATGAGGGCTTCTGGATGCTGTACAGAGGAGTGCTTATGCCGCTGCTACAAAGGACAACGACACGATCCATTATGTTCGGAATTTTCAATCGACTGAATGAAGCTCTCGGCTGCGCTCAGTGTCGCACTCCTCAGCGCCGTATTATTTGCAGTTCATCGGCCGCATTTTTAGGTTTTACATTTGGATCCGTGAGAAAATAGGTGAAAAGTCTCGACTGCAGAACTGTGTCATGACAGATTCACAGCAAACCGATGGAAGCAGCTTTGCTTTCACTGAAAGAATGCAATAAAAAAAATGACACAGCACGAAGGAACAAAGGGAGAAGTTGGCGAAACTTTAAATTTTGAGAAATTGATAAAATGGAAAGAAATGTTTCGGTCCATAAAGTCGTATGCATGTGGGGAACGCTTTTCTCCTGGCCAGTTTAGCTCTTGGACTTAATCGGGCCCGGTTTCCTCTTTTTTAGTACGATTGGTATCTTTGAGTCAATTTGAACATAGTTTTGATTAAAATTTGCGCGACTGGCTACTGTTTTTCTTTTTACAACTGACCCAGCACTGGATTATTCCTTCAGTTTATAATATTACCAAAATCGCCATACTGACGAGATGCAGTTGTGGTACTGAATAGGAGTGTACATGACTTAATGGGCTGAAATATTTCTTAGCAGTCATATTTTATATCGGTTGTCTACATTAGACATCCTTTTTTTAAATCGCTGAGAGATTGCTTTTTTTGGTAGTGACGGGATTCGAGTTAACAGTTTCCTCCCAAGGGTAAACACAACAGCCATCAAATTAAACCCCTTTTTTTTAAATTAATTACTTTAAATCACTTTAAATTAATTATTATGAGTGGAGGGGAAAATAAAACTTTCAAAAAACTCTTATCTTGGCTTCTTTTGTTATAGCCGGTACTAGCGAAGCAGTGTTATGTCCATTGGAACGGACACAGGTCCTGATGCAGGCCCGCGAATTCAATAGGCATTACAAGAACACACTGGATGCACTATCCAGTTTGGCCAAGGCATGTTTCAAGCTTATATATTTTTACGATTTAAGGAACAGTATCTCCACACTTTTAACGTTTGTGGCGAGCCTATCCTGAATTCAGCAAACGAGATTTGACTGAGTATTAAGATTTTAGCTTGGAGTGGCGGAATTATACCGTGGATTATCGTTGATATTGCTGAGGAACGGTCTGAGTAATACAGTCTTTTTCAATCTCAGAGAACCATTACGTGATGTGATTCTTAGCGACTACAATCGAAGTATAGTACAAAAGAAGACTGCTGGATGGTCAGAATTTTTGCTGTATTTTTTCATTTGATTTTGAGCAACAAACAGTCATTCGGGCCATGCTGCTCCTTTTCAAAGCTTAAATGCGCTGGTGCTTTACTTATGTTCTCTATAAAAAGCATTTGAGGATACCGGTCAGAGTAGTAATTTTCGTGAGCAATTTTGCGTCGGGTGCTATCCTTGGTGCTTTCATATCGACATTATTCTTTCCCGTAAATGTTGTCAAGCAACGTATGCAAATTACTGTTGGCACGCCATTCCGCTCACCTGTTCACGTCTTTCGAATCATCTGGAAAGAGCGAAATGGCTCAGTGAGGCAATTTTTTCGTGGTGGAGCGCTAAATTTCACCAGGTTAATATTTATTTCATTAGTAAGTGAAAGTGTGAGCTATGCAAAGATTTCATCTTTTGTGTTTGCTGCTAAGGGATGAAACACGTCCCGCTTCTTCCAATGCCTGTTAAATATACTATCTATGTGTTTTTATAAATAATAAAAGCATAAAAAGATGAAAAAAAACTTTTGAAATGAAGCTGATCATAGTGTTGCGTTTTTTGGATTTTTTTTTAAACTTATTTTGGCGCACCTGTCCAGAAATTGATTTATGTCCCTCTTGTACACTGAAATCGACCTCCGTTTTTGAAAGTTGTTGTAACGAAAAAATTGATTTCTGATAAGATATAGCACTGGATAAAATATGATTATATCTTTTAGAAATGAAAAGAGAGAATAGTTGCCAGAAGCGGGGAAGAGGTAGAGAGTATCGCAATTCCCGAGTTGTGAATGAGTGGTAGGGGGTCGAACAAGTTGTTACTCATACAGGACGTTTTACTATATTTGCCGAAAAGTTTGAAATAGTCTAAAATGATTCCGATGATATGCCCTGGCTAACTATGCTGTCATAGTTACAGCATTAGGCACTGACATGCGTTTCGTACACAGCGAGAATATAACGAGTTGATGAAATGGGAAGGAAAATGGGCTTATTAGCAGAGAAGATGATAAATTAATTGGAAAATTGAGTTTTTATAAAAAGAGGGTTGCCGAAGGCGGAGAGGAAAAAATGTGAAAAGAATTAATTGAAACGTCTAGAAAAGCAACGTTATTTTATGGGAAAAAAAAGAAAAATGAAGTTGTTCCTTACTCTTTGGTATCTCCAGCGATTTTTGTTCAAGTGTTTTTTAGATCGTTGTTCACCTGGGGTATCACAAATGCAACATACGAAGTACTGCGATATTTACTTTCGAAGAACCTTGCAAAATGAATTTATTCACTTTTTTAATGCAAAATTTGTTGCTGTTCTGCTGTGCTGCTATTTTTTCATGGTTCAGCTCACGTTTTCCTCTTCACTGATCCCGCCGAGTTGTTACATCATTCACTTCTATCGGTCTGACTGATTTTTTTTCCTCCTTTATTAATTGTTCTTGGTCCAGAAATCTTGCCGAAATCTCAGTTTCTACAACTTTGGAAAATATTTATTGGGCCAAAAACTACTCTTTTAGTCTGCAGAACTGTGAAAGCTAGGAAGGAATAATTTTTGAGACAGCATCATTCACTTTGTTCGAATCCAGAAATAACAAATTTATTTCCATATATATATATATATGTATATATATATATATATATATATATGTATGTATATTTATATATATGCACATATGAAAATACGCACATTAGATCGTCACTGTACGCGTTTTTGCTGTGCAGCGCTATAATCATGCTATAGCAGCAAAAACGAATATTGTCGAGAAGTCGTCTGCGTGTGTGTGTTTGTGTGTTCAGAAGCAAGTGAACTTTTCACCTACTTTCATCTCAGCAACCTGGAAAGCTGGGAGGCTGAAATTTTGTGTATATTTTCCTACCCCATGTTTCGTCCTCCTGTTTTAAAATTTTTGCTCATTGGGACCTTGGCCCCGCCTACGGACCCTGCATCGCAACCCAAACTGTTAGCTTATTAGGCTAGTATGTGCCCCGGTTGTAGAAGTGTATACTACGTCGCGTCCAATATACATATTTATTAATACATAGTAAGTTAAAGAGATAACGCATACAAAGGTTGGTGAGGCTCTGGGGAGCCGAAGCTCCCCAGAATAAGAGTATAAGTTAAATAAAAATAGATCGCAGTGGTGGATGGGTAGTGACGATCCCAGCGATGTGGAGAAGTGCTTTTATACCTCAGGGAACAAAGATCGAATGTTCAATGAGGGTAGCGTAGTCAAAGTTCAGGGACAGGGATATTGCGTCATAGTAACGTAATTGTTCTTTAACCTACTTTTAACAAAAAGCCATTAATCATTATCTGATCTATTATACGACACCCGAAAAAATATCCAAATTTCTTTGGCGGGAAACGATTTCACGAACCAGGCAAGGTACAAAGCTAAAATTTTGCAGGGATATCCTCTGTTTATGTGCGAGCTAAAGATTTTTAATTCAGCTGTCGCGCATGCTTATGTAGCGCGATCACGTCAAAGTTTGCAATTTGGTACTGTGCTAACTCGAAAACTTGCCGAAAAACAATGGCTGAAATTTTGTCAGCATGTTCCGTATGGGAAATCGTATACCTAAATGAGTACGGATTTGCACTTGCGCCGGGCAGTTCAAAAATATTTGTAGCGAATTGGATATTTCGCTTGCCAGATAAGCTGCGAGGCTGAAAATCCGCTGGGATATTCTACTTTCAAGTGCGGTCTTAATTCTACTTGGAGGTGGAACTCCCTCCAGGTAGGCGTAAGAAATAATAAACTTTATCCGTCAGAAACGGGTGCATTTTGCAGCGAACGACCGCCCTCATCCAAATATGTAAATGAACGTTAGACCATTTGCATACTTGGATTTTTTCACAAACAACCGCTCGAGCAGTACTTTCACTTTTTCATGAACTGGAAATTTGCATTTTTTCAAACAATTTGCATTTTTCATTTTTTCAAAAGGCCAGCATTTACCGAAAAAACGACCGAGTTTCATGCAAAAAACTGGCAATCATGTACCTGCTCTATGCAGCTCTCTAACGCAACACCCCAACACCCTCGTCCCAACCGCTGCATCCCGGAAAAAACTAAAGCATGACATTGAGCCCAACTGTTTAGCTACAGCGCAGGGATTATTCCTGCTATGAGCGACCGCGAGTTTTTGCTATTAGCGACCCGCGAGTTTGGTACAAAAATGCATGATCGCACCGGCAAGGCTGATGCGTTCCAGCCTGGGTTACATTTGCATAAGTGCAAAAACGCGTAATGAAAGTCGGCTTTTT